TTATTGTTGCACTTCTGAGCATAACTTTCAAATTTAAAAAATCTATGAAAAGAAAATTTGAGACAAATTTTTTTTTTTTAGATTAATAGACTCCCCTTTTAAAGCTGAATTGAATGGTGGTAAATTTTTTTAAAATCCAATGTGTGGATCACATAATATTTCAAAATTTTTAACTTTTGAGTATAGATGATCGATCCGCACTGTATATATAAATTTTAAAATTGACACATTTTGAAATTTGGTCACGAGGCGCAGTCAATGGTATTTAAGAGATTCCACACCATAATTCGTAATATTAATATTAATATATTCGAATTAAAAAAATTTATTCGAATTATTCATTTTATCCATATAAACAGTAGTAGTTATATTTATAATCTATATTACTACTACTATGGTTGCTAGTACTATAACTTAAGAAAAATGTCAGCTACTACTATTTATTATTATCACTATACTATATTCAAGGACTAAAGAAAAATAGATTGATAAAGAAAAAAAATTTTATTTTATTCGAATAATAATAATAATAATAATAATAATAATAATAATAATAATAATAATAATAATAATAAACTTATAATTATTATTCGAAAACATACTATTACTGTGTCAATTTTATTTGATTATGTAAATTGCATAAAAATCATCGTCCCTGTATATAGGACGATCAAAAATCCTTTTCAAATGTTACCACATGAATATTTTTATTTTATATTAATATGTAAAAATAATCTGGTTTGAATCCGGTTGCTATAATAATAGTAATTTCATCAGATTTTTCAAAATGAATCAGTTCTAGACCTTAAAACTTTAGTTTTTGACGAGTAGGTAGTATGCTACGTGGAAAGACTATTTATATGTATTTTAATTTTAATTGATAACCTTTGCCAATATTTGAATTTTTGCTTTGCTAGCAAGTAATACTTGAATCTCTTATCGGATCAAATGAAAATTTGCCCTATTGACCGAAAGTTCAATCGCATTTATTAATTTATTTCTCGCTAATAAAAACCTAAATTACAATTTGGCTGTGTTTCTTCTAAATGAAAATCTTAATAAATTAATTCATTTACAATTGGAAACTATTTACCTTTTTTAGTATGCTTTTTCTGGTAGACGGTTCTTTATAATGCAAGGTTTACTTTGTTTTTTTCACACACAATCAAAAATGATATTTTTGGAAATAAACACACGACTACAACCATGACTATCATCATCACCACTATCACCATCGCCACCACCATCACCACCACGATTCTCCTCTCTTAATTCATTAATATAAGGTAGTAAATTTTCTGCAAGAAGTTTATTATAACCAATTGCATTTAATTTACCTTCAACTAATACTAATGGACCCATTTTTTCTCTTGTAAAACATCCCCAAACCATAATTCCATCAGATTTTTTTACTGTTGGACTTAAATTTTCTTTATTATATTTTTCTCCTGGCTTCCTCCAGACCCAATCATTTGAATCGTTTTGAAACAACTCAAATCTACTTTCATCACTAAATATTATTTTATCCCATTCATTACGACTCCAATTTTTTCTTGCATGGCACCAGTATAACCTTTTTTTCCTATTTACATCAGAAACAAGAGGTTTTTTGACAGCTTTTCTTCCATAAACATTTTTAGAATGTAATGTTCGTCTGATAGTTTTCTCACTTGTTACAATGTTTAATTCTTCAAGACTCTTGACTAATTTAAGAGCAGTTGTTTTAGTATCCTTTTTTACTGCTTTCATAAGTTGTCTTTCATCACGCTCTGATAACTTTTTAGGTCTGCCAGGTCTAAGAACTGCAGTTGTTTTATTTTTTGAAAAATAATCATTGGCAACCTTTTCAACTGCACTTTTGGATCTATTTAATATACGAGCTATTTCTCTATAAGAAAAATTGGCTTTTTTTAAACCAACGATTTCTCCACGTTCAAATTCGGATAATTGAGTAGCTTTGGGCATTTTAAGTTTTCTTTAAAAAAAATGAAATGGTTAAAGTTTACTTTAAATGAATTATCTAATTTGGGATTTTTTTAAAAGATCTTCAAAATTAACTCGTTTGAGAATTTTGTATGACATCTTGGCAATTAATTTACCAAATGATCTAGAACTTTGGATATAACTAGATTCAAACATAAGACGCATTTTTCACTTATACCGCAAAGGTCGTTAGAACTCGACATTGTGGTCAATTTTCGAGTTAAAGATTTTTTTGAAAATTCCGAAAAATTCATTTTTATTTTTTAAGGTTCGTAAAACAACAAGTTGTTGTTTATATGCAGCGAAACTTCAGTATGTTATACTATTTGATATGAAGATGAATTTTTACTTAATAAGCAAATGCGGTTAGGTTAATAAAATTTTTATTTTTTTTCATGTTTCTTTATTCAATTATTTCCGATGATCTGCAAGTGTCCTTATATTTATGACCAGGAAGTGTATATATATTTTTATTTTTTTTTTTTGAGTAATAATTGGTAATGTTTAATTTTTCATTTAGGAATTGTTTAAAGCTTTATAAAAAGAATCGAAACCAAATTTGCTTGTTCTTTGTATTATTAGAATAACAATTCGTGTATTTCTAAAGAAATCATGTTATAATAAATATCAAGAGGGATTGACGAGAAATAATAATAATAGTAAAATTGTTTTATTATTAGAATCTATTAATAAATAAAATAATTACTAATGTCCCATCTTGTGATCTTATTTAATATATTTCTATTTCCTTCAATCAACAATTTACTTCTTGAACTTACAATTTGTTTTGTATAACTTGATCGTACTCTACAGCAACCTTCTGGGCCACTCAAGAAATAATTTGAATTTATACAAACTAATTTATCTAATATTCCTTGTACACCTGGACCATTTAATTCCTTAACTAAAGGATTTCTTTTATTTTTCTTTTCTTTTCCAATATATTTTAAATAATCAAAAGCATTTAAAGATTTCCAAGTTTTGATGTCTATTGCAGAGCTTAGTATTTCCAATGCTTTAATGTGATAAAATGTAATATTATGAAAAGTGCTAGATTGTGCTTTGTTATCAACACTCTGAAAATTTATACTTAAACTACCATTCTTCTCGCAAGTTATGGGAACATCAGTTGCCAAATAAACATTTTTTATTCCAGTGTTTTTTCTTATTCCTTGTATTTTTTTAACTAATTTTCTGGCACAATTTGGTAGATTCTCCTGCAATGCTCCTTCCATCCTCCAATGTATCGCAATATATGATGATTCAAGCCGATTAGCAATTTTTGAAGCTTCATTAATTATATGCTCTGCGTAAGGAATTGGTTCGTACGTGCCTGGAAACATTGTTTGTTTCAGTATAGAATGAATTAATAGTATTTGTGAATCGGAATTTAAATCTTTAATCATGAATTTAGAAAATTCTTTGCGTCCCTTTACTGATTTTAGAAATCCATCATTTAAAATACGAATTTTTTTAATTTTTTCTATGTTCATTTTGAATTTGTATAAAATTTTATTACTATGACGATTAATAAAATACATCTGTTTTTTATAATAATAATTGGAAGAATTGTTTGCAATTACAAAACTTTCATAGTGTTTATTTTGTTTATTTTGCTGTTGTGGCCTTTCTTCAGTAAGTAAAATGTGTTCAGCAGTAATTTTTTTATAATTTGGTTGCTTTTTAATCCATGATTTGTATTCTTCTTGAGGAACAAATTTTGCATTTGGAAACATTTTTTTCAATAAATTAAAATCATAATAGAAAGTTGGGGAAAGTGGTAAAGATGCTGCGAATCTTGATGAGCCAACATTTGATATCACTAGGATACGATCTAAAGATTCAGCCAATTGAATGAATGACCTTATGTGTGAATTGGCTTTAGTTTCTTGCTCTGGTAGAATATATGGGAATAAGAATTTACATTTATCATTGCAATCTTCTAATATTGATGATGATGATGGTGATGATGTTGATGATGGTGATGATGTTGATGATGGTGATGATGATGATGATATTTCTTCGACTTTTTCGGTATTATTTTCAAATATATATTTGTATAATGAGAAAGAATATATTACTGCAAGTAATATTAAAAATTTTTTAAATATATAAACGGTTTTTTTTGTATCTATTTGTCTGTACATTTTATTTTATTCAAAGTTATTGTTGTTTAATAATAATAATTTTTTAAAATTAATTTACAAGTATATATAATAATTTATATATGCTTTTTATTTATTAATTATTGGGTATTGTTTGTTTGTTTGCTTAAAAGTTCGTGGATTTTAAATTAGTCAATCAGAATTTTGTTATTATTATTATTATTGCAGATCAGTCAATCACGGATGCATGGGATACGAACCAATTAATGATGATATATTAATATATGAAATATTGATGGTGGTGGTGATATAAAAAGGAATTTGAAAGTTTGAAATTGGAAGAAGAAAACCTACGCAAAAAAAAACTTACACGCCAAATTTATCTCTATATATACTTAATTTCGCCCAATATTGACAATTATTATTATTATTTATTAGTTTTCTTGAAATCATATTAATTCGATGTAACTTGCTAATAAAGTTTGAAAAAAAAAATATCAAATTTTTAATGTTACACGATATAATAAAATAAATGGATTAGTAAACTCAAAGAATTGCAGAAATTTATTTAACTAAAATAGATAACTTTTTTTTTTAATAAAGAATATAAAAAAAAACATTTTTTTTCATTTACCTCGCATTTTTTGTTTGTATGCAGAATCATATTTTTTTATTTTTTTTTGAATTTCTTTTTTGAAAATTTAAAGTTTTATTGTTGTAAATAACTAATAGCTTCTTCTCTCTTCTATGCTGAGCTCGTTGTTGAGTTCATAAAAGAGAGGCAGTTAGTAAAAAATCGCTGTTTTTTCAACCCTATTTTTTGGGAAGGAATTTTTTGTTTTTTCTTGGCGATGAATTTCTGAAATTAATCCACATGATGAAACATCATTTTACTGCTTATCCTTGTCTGCATAACAAAGTCTTTTTCCTCAAAATTGTTTATTATTTAGGTTAGTTAGGAAATTGAAACTATAAAATTTAATATTTTTATAATAATTATAATAATAAGATAATAGTTACGACACCTTTTGTAGTGTCACTGAGACTTGCAGAGAATGAATTCCAAAATATCTTCTTTGAAGCCTTCTACACCAATGATGATAATAATAACAACATGATCTCAGAAATCTCTAAATCGACTATTTCTTTATTCGACAATAATTTAAATTGATAATTTAACTAGTACTATGCAAGAAATAAATTCAAAATATTGTTATTGCACAAATCGCATTTGTATTTTTATTTAGCCTTGTCGAAGGCCAGAAATCTTTTCCTATAGAATTTCTATATTTGTTATTATTCAAATAACCCAACCATTCAATGTAACTTAAATATCCAAAATTACAGATAATTCAAATAATAATCTTTATCAGTTTTTTTTGGACCGTCCCAATCTTTAAATAGGTCAATAAATATAAAAAAAGGAAATAAATCGATCACAAGTAAATAAAAGGGACTCCACAAAAGCCATTGAGCTTTGTATTATTTACAGTTATCCGGTGCCATTAAATGTGCTTACAGATTCGTCTAGGTGCAATAAGCGAGAACCAAAATAAATTCATAAACTAATCAAAAGTAGCTAAAAATTTATAATTTTTAAATAATCTATCTTAACTGAAATGATACCATTATTTAACAAGAATTAGAAAATAGTAAAAAGTTTTCATTATTATATATCTCTTAAACAGTCAAAGTATCCTTTAAATGGTAACACAAATTAAAGTTTTGATCATTCTTATTATTATTATTATTGGTCAATTTAATGATCAGCAAAGTAAAAACAGTCAATCGACCAACTTTTAAAGAAGATTTTACAAAAACCACAAGGACAATAACCGAATTTTTATTCACATATCAATCAGCTGAATCTCAAAGATCATTTTCGTATTAGGAAATAATACCTTTAGAAAACGTTTTTTATAACAGAAAAAAATTTCGGCTATCAATAGCCGAAAACCGTTTAAGCCATGGTGATGATCATGATCGACAAAAAAATTATACATGCGGAAATTGTTGTAATATTTGGTTGTATTAGTTTTTCCATTTTTCTTTAAATGTTTAAATTCTTTATAATATATTGACTTTATTATCAATTGTTTATTTTTAGAAACTTGGAAATTTTGTTACTTGCGCACATTCGGATAAATAATCTATCAATTGTTTGTTAGAAACTTGGAAAAGGTTTTTACTCGCAAACATTTGGACAAATAAACCTATCAATTGTTTGTTTATTGTTTATTTTAGAAACTTGGATCCATTTAGTAAAATCATCAAATGATTATTTAATGTATCAAGATTCATTTTGTTCCTTAATTTATTCTTAATCAACTTTGTCTGGGAAAATATTCTTTCCACATTAGCATTTGAAAGAGGTATAATAAGAGATATTTTAACTAAAAGGGATATATTTGGGTAATTAAATGAAAAGTCTTTATCTGTGTTAAAAATGGAATTTGTTACTCGCTAACATTCAGACAAATAATCTATCAATTGTTTGTATTAGTTTATTTTGAAATTTTGTTACTCATTGTTTGTTTTATTTGTTTTATTGCTTTATTTTAATACTGGCCTTTGATTAAAAATAATCCATTACTACTATTTTATTTTATCAATTTTGGTAATTTCTTAATTTATAGCCGCTGTGATGAGACTAGTAGCCATATAAAAAGGCCCCCATCAAAAATCCGCCGTTAACGTTGTGGAACAAATTTATTAATAAAATCTGTTATGACAAACATCTTTACTTAATAAAAAAAGGGGCCAATATTTAAATCCGTTGTAACAAGGAATCCGCTGTGGCGAGGTCTGTTGTGACGAGGTTTGACTGTAATGATAAAATAAAAAGATAAATAACTATAACGAATAAATTTATAGTGGAGGTTAAATTAGTCATTCACCTTTACTATTATTACTAGAGTCTAATGTTTATTAATTAATTAAAAAATATTGTTAATAATGGATAGTAATTTCCAATTAGTTAAAAATGAAATTCTTATTCACCTTTGTTTATATAATATTTAGAGAAAAGGGCTAAAATCAAGATTATTTAACGAACTATCATTACTTGTATAACTTTTTAAGGCTTTAGACTTGGCAATCTCTTCATCTAATATTCTACTTGTATGATATGCATCTGGATGTGATTGGTGTACTTGTTGCGAACTACTACCACCACCATTATTAAAATCCATTTCAAGCTTTTCAATTTTAGAAAATTTAATTAAACTATTATTTTATTATTAATTTTCAAACTTTCAGTTATATGTATTCCTTCAACTTATTAGCAACAAATTCATTAAGCTCTTCACTAGTTGGTCTTTTTTATGGATCCACATCCAACACTTCTGCATCATTTGAGCATAGTAGTCAGGCATTTCAGGTAATATTGGTGGTCATAAACATATCAAACATCAAACAGATATCAGATTCTTTTGTGTTATTTTTGCCTCTAGGTAGCTCAGGTGCAACTCATGATACAATTCCATAGACTTTATCTGATGATTTTCATCAAACTGGTCCACATAATCCCTAAATCTGTGATATAACAACCATCCGCCTCCTTGCAATGATATATTACCACTATGGATTAAATCTTTTTCATATATATCATTTAATGCATCACATAAATATCTGAAAATTGTAATTCTATCTTTTAATGCTAGGGCCGTTCAAATTTAATTATTTGTTTAACATCCCCCCAGATTTTCAAACAATTATAAAACACGTGATTTTCATGTGTAACAAAGTATTGAGAAACACTTTTTCTGCCGATCACTCCAGGCTTTTCATTGGTTTTATTTTGTTTGTTTAAATTTCTCCCCTTCTCCTCCCTCTTAATTTTCAAAAAAAGAATGTCAAACAAATAATTAAATTTGAATAGCCTAAATTTAATATATTTTTGCAAATAATCCTTAAATTTCCTTCTGGAACATAAGTTAAAAAATATTGCATAATTTCCATTATCAAGGAATTTAATTATACCAAAGCAATTGACAATCATCCCTGATCTAATTTTACAATAATTCATTGCCTGAGATTAATATAAAACCAATTAGTATTGTATAATACAACATGGTTTTAATTAACAACTACCAACCTCATCAAAAAAGCCTTTTCCTGAGGTCTGATTCATTTCATCAACACGCATTTTGTTGACAGTTCATTTCGTCAACAGTTCATATGGTTTTAGCGTAATATATGCATTGGTTATAATTATTAATGTTGTTAATCCTGATTGAATCTAGGAATCATGATTTCAGAAGCATCAGGAAATTTAGATAAAAAGAAATTTGGATACTAATTAGTTTGCAAGCATATTAATGACTGAATTTCATGCATCTTGAAATGAATCATCATCAGAGAAATAAAAATTTTGATTCAAATGAAATCTCAATACTATTCATTAGCATATTGTCAATTTTTCTGATTCACACTATTAAAAACAATAATTATCATCAATTATTATAGTCACCAAAATAGTCAGTGATATGAACTGTTGATGAAATGTGTGTCGATGAAATGAACTGTCAATGAAATGTGTATCAATGAAGTAAACACGACCAAATTAAAAAAAAACCTATATTACCATACAAATGGGAATGTAAAAATAAAATTTCACCTGTGTATGGTATTTCTTAACCACTATCCATTGTTAATGTGAATTTACAGTCCTCATTAGTATTACAGTAATGTTCAAAACAATACTAACAATTCTGATTAAACCTTTAAACTTTACTTCTAATATAACCGTCAGATTTAATTTCTAAAATGCCTGACCTACTACCCAAAATATGCCGCGTTTACGGATGATCATTCATGGAAAAATATTATGGTTGGCGACCTCCTATTGCTGCGCTGCGCGCTCAATTGCGATTTTGTGATTCGTTCAAAATGCAATAAAAAGTCATCACGTGACTTTAATTAAAAAATTAATTTTCAAATTAATAAAAATAATTATGTAACCAGAATATTTTATTCGAATTTTTGAACGGGATAAATAAATTTTATTATACATATTGTCAAATTAATTTGGCTTTGATTCAATCCCAAAATCTCAATTTTTAATTGCGTCTGATTCAATTATTTAATATTTTTCATATGACTAAATATCTCCATTTTTTGAATTAATATCTGAAAATCAAAATGAAAAATGAAAAATCGTTGGAATTATCAGAAGTATACAAATATTTAGATCTTTGATTGACTCCATTAGCAATCCATGAATTTGGCAGGTATGAGAAAAACTGGATTTTTAATTCTTTCAATATCAGCTACATCTATGAAATTTGAAGACATTTTAGTGACCTTTGTAATCAAATAACTGCAGAAAAAAACAAGAACCAAGTTCTATAGTTGTTAATAATTTTATATTTAAAAAAAGATGATATTTATTGTAATAATTAGATAATTGTATTTATAAAGATTAAATTGACAAATAAAAATGAATCGATTAACTATATAAGGCATCCTTAACCAGTTAACTGAGATTTTCACAGTTAACCAGCCAAAGAATTTTTGCATGGTGCCAATCTCTTGTTAAAATTTGAATTATATTTTAATTCTTGCATAAGAATTCTATCTTTGATCGAATCTTTGCTTTTATAAATAGCTTTCTATACACCACATTATTCAATTATTCAAAAACCTTAAACGTCATTTATAATTATATATAATTAAAGTTGTTAAATAAATTTTTAAAGATTCTTTTTCCAGCATACAAATTTTGTAATCTAATTCTTTCATTCTTTAAATGCGCCTGATCTGATGACTACAATAATAAATAATAATAGCAATTATTATTATTATTATTATTATTTTATTATTGATATTGATTTATTATGAAAAGAGAAAAACATTTAATGGTATATTTTACCTGACCGATTGGTAAATTTATAGTTATTGCATTGAATCTTTTTTCTAACCAGCTTACTGCTGGAATTGATCCGCCTTCTCTTATATATAATGGTTTTATGCCCCATTCCTATATGTTGAAAATTCGTTACAGATTATAAATTATAATAATTACTAATTATTAATTATCAATAGATTGTAGTTTCAAAATATTATTTATTTATTACTTGTTCAATTGCTTCTTCAGCTGCTTTAAAATACTTATTTTCAGGATCACCTAACCACCAATCTGCCATATTATTTATAGTAATCTATTATTATGATATTAATTGAAATTAAAATAGATTTATTATATTAATTATAAATCTAATCATTATAGAATCCCTTACCTTTAAACAATTATCAGTTCTCAACTCTTCAAAATTTTCATTTACATATATTTGAAAATTTTTAATTATGTCATTTATATTTTGATCTGGTACAATCCTCATACTTAGTATAGCTTCTGCTTTATGTGATATGACTGTTGTATTATCAATCGGTCCACTTACATCTATCTTATGTATGGTTAGCGATGGATATCTCCATCTCAACATCAACGAATCTCTCAAATTTTTGTTTTCATTACTGAATAGTAGTTTACTCCTAATATATATATATGTAAACGTGAATATTTAAAAGTGTTACTAGGAATAATAGGAAAATAATAATACTGATAGTGGTATAGTTAAACTATTACCTATTGATTGATTTAATAATTGATTCATATATTTTTTTTTCACTTGTTGTCACTTCTCTAACTTTATCATAAAATTCTATTATTATTCAAAAAAAAAAAAAATCAGTAAATATAACTAATATGCACTGTGACACAATAATAAATTATTAAAGATTGATGAATTGATTTTCACCTGGTATCATAACCTTATTATCATTTGGTACAAGTTTCGAGAGTATTTTAATCATATCTTTTAATGGCTCAGATACTGCTCCACCCTCCATTCCAGAATGTAAATCATTTTTTGAATTAAATATCTATAATTTTGTATTATATATAACATGTTATAATCATATATACATATATAGTAAATTCTATATACAAATACGTAGATATATTTACTTCAATTTTTGCCTTGACAATTCCACGTAATCCATAAGTTAGACAAGGTGTTTCATCATCTAACCAATAAGAGTTACTATTTAAAAACAGAATGATTTAATTTAACTAAAATAATTATTGTATCATGTATATGGAGGTGTATGCATTGAAATCCAACCTAACTATTATAATATCAGCTTCACCAATTAGGTCCTATTAAGTAAACGTGTATATTTATTTAATGATGCATTTTTAATGAATAAATATATATATCTATAATTTATTATCGTTACCTTGGATTGTTCAACAGCTTCATAAAATCCTTTACTTCCATTCTCCTCTTCGCCTTCTATCAAAAAGGATACATTTGCTTCAAGCCTTTTTTCTTGTAGCAATTCACTTGCAGCAAATATTGCAGAAAGCATTGGTCCTTTATTATCAGTCACACCTTAAATACATTATATTAATAAATATTTGTATATTTGCATATGCAAACATGTCCAAAATTATATGACATTCACCTCTTCCATAAAGATAACCATCTTTACCAGACATTTTAAATGGACTTGAAGACCATTCAGTTTCATCAGCAGCAATGACATCATAATGACCATATACCAAAATATTTAATTTATTAGATTTATTTTCATTTCCAAGAAATCTGCCAAAAACCAAAGGATTCTGTCCAGGTCCTCCTGGGATCTATTTTTTTTTTTTTTGATTTAAATAAGGCACAATAATTAATAGTTAATAAAATATAAAGTTTATTACAACTACAGCTACAAATGATAATTTAAAGATATTCTACTATAGAAGAATTTGCTCCCAATTGTTCCATTATACTCTTTAAGTATTTTGCTCCACGTAAACATTCTTCTGAATATTTAGAATTTCCACTGATGGTTTGTAATGATATCCATTTTGACAACGCATAAATCATTAAGTCTATAATAAATACACATTATTTATTTATTATTATTAATATTGTTAGTAAAATAGCGAAATATTTATTTTCATTTTTTGTACCTGAACTAGGAAACTCTGATAAGTCATGGGGCTCAAGTGTTATTGTAGATGACAAGTCCCAGAACTTTTATGAAGTAATAAAAATAATATTATTGTCATCATTAAAATTGATTTTTTACTATTAAATATTTTTAATATATGTCATACCTTTATCAATTTGTCATTAGTACCAGATATCAGCCATAATTTTGTATTAGTGGTAGTGTTAGCAGAAGGTAGTGGTGACATTGTAAGTGAAAGTATTGTTGCATTATGATCATTATAAGTGTCTAGGATGTTGAATGTTTTATTCCATCTCTGAAAATACCAAATAATATGCATAGTATTGATTATTTAAATATAAACCCATTTTTCTAGTTTCTTCTCTGCATATTTTACTATATATATATATATATATTCCTATTTCCCACCCACTTTAATAGTTCCATCTGCAGATCCAGAATATAAATTATTATCATCAACAGCTAATGCCAAAACATCATCCTATTAAAAAAAATAATAATTTAATTATTAATAGTAATAATATATTATTATTATTATTAAGATAAACTTATAACTTACATTATGAGCCATTAATGATCTAATATGCTAATTTTTAAAATTAAAGAGAATAAATTCAATGAAAAATTTTATTGTTAAGATTGATTTTAACATTATTTTTTACCTGATAAGTTTCTAAATCATAAATCTAAAAAAAAAAATTTGCAAATAATTATTAAGAACAATTAAAAAAGAACAATTAAAAGAATATAATTAATGTTGTCATTAAAGTATTTACTTTGATATCTCCGCCTTGTGTACCACATATCAATAATTCATCTTGCAATGCTAATGTTAAAATACTAGCATCAGTGCTTCCCAACACTCTTAATAAGTTCATTGAACTTTTTTTAATTGACCAAATCTAAAAGTATAAATAAATAAAACCATTATTTATTTGTTGGATTTTGAAATATTCTAATTAAATCTGATCTCATTATACATACTTTAATATCTCCATCACCAGAACCTTTTTATTTACAAGTATTTTATTATAAAAAGTTAATTTTTATTATATACAAATTGCGCGCACACATGTATTTGTATATTCTATGATTCCAAAATTATGAAAAAAAAAAAACTGACCACTTATTAATATGTCACCACCTTGATTTGCACCTAATGCTAAAGCATAAACATATCCATTATGACTATTAAGATAAATCATATCATCACAAATCTCATATCTCTTTACCCCTTGTTTTTCATCCTCCATAAAGTTGATTTGCACATCTTCAATATTGCCATTACAGTTGCCGTTATTACTACTACTAGTATTCAGGAGTGAATCAAAGAATTTTGAATAATTATGAATATTTGGAAGATGTGGTGTTTGGAAAGTTTCTCTAATTGAAAGATCAAATCTCTAAAATAAATAAAAATTAATATTGATATGTACCCTCTGCCTGAATTCATAAATGAATTATAAAATGTTGAGAAATGAAAAAACCTGGATACTTGTATTTTGACAACCAATGTACAAGGTCTTTAATTTATCAGAGTAAACAACTGAAAAAATATCTCCAACATCTTGGCTTGATTGTATCACATAAAGACATTTTAAAGCATCTGCATTCCAAATCTAAATTCATTTATTTATTAAATTTTTTATAGCAAACATATTTTTTTTGCACTATAAAAAACCAAATTCTTACTCTAACTGTTCCATCACCTAAAATAAAAACAATAAATAGATTTTAAAGTTAAAGAGGTAAGCTAAAAATATATTCTTAATAAATTCTTCTATCTTTCCAACCTGATGAACTGAATAACATTGATTGATCGCTGGATAAACTTAAACACAATATGCTTCCAGTATGACCTTTCAATGCTCCTGCTTGTTGAAAATTGATTAAATCCCATACCTATAAATATCGAATAATTAAATTATTAATATAATCTTTTTTCTAATTTTTTTCTAATTTTTTTAATTTACCTGTATACAAGAACCTTGTGAACCACTAAATAAATATTTATTACTACATGCCAAAGATAATATGGAATTCTCACAAAGTTTAATAGTATGGATCGGTTTATTTAATAAAGCATTATCTGTTACTAGAAGACGATTCAAACTGCCTGAAATAAGATGAACATTTACAATTAATATTTTTATATATGTATTATAATAAATCATCATTAATAAAATGTACTCGTACGCAATGGCGTTGGACTAGGGCTTCTTGTGATAATTTCTTGATTATCTATTGATAAACAATTTGAGTCTAAATTTTCTTGCATATCAAAAAAAATTTTTATTAAAGTGACCTCCCAAAGAAATTTTTTATTAAATTAAAAAATATTTTGTGAACGTAATTTTTAAAAAGAACAAAATTATGAAAAAAAATTTATTTTAATGAGTTATCGGCATGCTTCGCATGCAAAACTATTATCGGTAGCCTGTTTTCATATATTTCATATAATTGATTAATAATCAATTTTCATTCATATTCTTGCAAAAAATTATCAAATCAATCGATGCACATTATTTTTAGAGTTTTTAAAGTGTGATATAAAAGGAGAGTGATAAACGAACTAACCTTTTTTATATCGTCACCGAAGAAATTTCTTTAAGAATCTATACCAACAAATTGTTTACTATGGGAGGCGTTGTGCGCTTTTTCATACGCGATGATGCCGTTTCTAACGTTACCTTTGAAACTGACTGTACCACGCAAATAGGGATTAAAAATGATTTTTGAAGGGAAGAAAGTTTGGAAGCAAGAATCTACACTTAGGTAGTAAAAGGAATGGTGTTCTCATTGTAGCAATATAAATAAAATGACATTATATCTATTGCATAATCTTAATAAATATTCCTAATCTAAAAACTTAGTATCTTAAGTTTACATACCACAGGGCTTGATCGTACTTTTTGAAATGTGCCCATATTCATCTTAACGATTGGATTCTGGAACCATTATCATACAATCCACCGGTAACAAATGTCAATTTTAAGATTGATTCTGTTCCTCGTGAAGGAACATAGCAAACATTTTGATGATGAAGAGGTATGCATAATTTAATTTTATGATGATGCTTGTCATAATATCGAGATTAAGACATAAAACAACTCATCCAAAAAATCCAGAAAGCAAAAAGAGAAAACTTCAAATATGAATAGCCATCTATATTTCCATGATTAACATTAATAAATCATTGATGCATTGTAACTTTGCTACTAAAGGTAATAACAATAAAATTTTGTTTACGGTCAAACCTTGTTGCAACGAATTATGATACTCGCATTACAACGAATTTTAAAATTTGCATATATAAAAATTCCTTAAGATACAGAGCATAAGAAAAAAATGTATTTAAAATTCTTTATGCCAAAATCGCTAATGCGTTTCATAGATTTGTTCGACTGTATTATGATAAATTTTTTTTAGATTTATAATAACATTAAGACCTAATGGGTAATGCCATAGATTTCACGATTGTAAAATTTATGTAAAATGCAAAATGTCATTATCGTAAACAATTCATTATATGAGTTGTGAATCAAAACTTTTCAACCAGTAATAGTAATAGTTAAAAAATATTTCCTCCGTCTACCGTGGACGATTTACGATTGAAGATAAAGGCTCCTAAAACAAATCCGCTAATATTTGTATAATAACATTGAAATGATTACAGTCAAACCTCGATAAGCCGAACTTTTGGGAATCACAAAAATAGGATCGGCTTATCAAAATTCGGTTTATGATACAAACAGGGCTGGCAGCGTAAAGGGTTAAAAACCTAATTTAGTAACAATCATCTTGACTAAACTTAACATATTAATATGACTAAATAGTTTAGTCAGTTTAGCTAAATACTCATTTGAGTTACGCAGCCCTGGATACAAAACGATTTTTATTGATTGTTCAAAATGAATTCGGCTTACAACGTTATAATATCCTCGTTTTTTTATTAGAACTTGACATGGTAAGTAGAATTGTTGGGTGATCGACCATTTTTAAACCGAATTAAAACCAGTTTATGATCATATTCGGCTTAGAAAGTTATATTTTTATTATTTTGTACAAACCATTAAGTTCGGTTTATCAAGTAAAGTAGAAATTATAATAAAATTCGGCTTAACGAAATAATTTTTATTAAATATAATTTGGTTAGCCAATTTTGCATCGTTATAAAGCGAAATCGATTTATGGTAGTTCGGTTTATCGAGGTTTGACTGTATAAACGATCATCACCTCTAAACCAAAAAAAGGCAATCTATACTAACATTCAAGAATTTATGAAAGATGCTAATAATAATAATTATGTTTATCAGCAACAGTTATTTCAAAAGAGAAATATAAATATATAGAATACATATTTACATACGAGAAATCCAAAGTATGCCTAATGAGAAAGAGGAAATAATGTAAGTTTAAATAAAAAATTCTTTCTGCTTCAAACAGATAATAAAATTGAATATTTTACATACCGCAGACCATTGGAAGTATCAAAATTTCCATTAACAAGTGGTTGGGCAAAAATCGCACATATTTTAGAACAGTGGTTTTTGCTGGAAATATTGACGAGAGTTGTTGGATAAATGCCCAAACAACGTTGGATTATTTGAAGTTGAAAGTGGAAAAGATACCAAAATTGTCAACTATACAAGGATGGATAACCTGTTGTACAGCACAGCTACGCGAGAGAATTAAAAGATTAGAACATAATTTCTCCATACCTTGTATCTTTAACATATTGTTTATATTAATAATATTGATAAAAATATAAAAAATTAATTAAAATTAATGAAAACTATTTCATCATTGTTTAAATATTATATTCGAACAAATCTTAAATTTCATATAGTAAATTTAGGCAGGAATTTAACGGTCCCTACATACAAAGGTAAAATATTTTATAAGAAAGTTTCTTTGAAAATTGATATATTGAAACTTTGGGATTCTTATCATTTATTACGGTTACAACCACGGTTTTTAAATATATAGTAGTTTTTTAGGAGTGAAGTTGGTTTTCGAGAAATTTCAACTATATAGTGACCTGCAAAAGTTTGCTACGTATTAGTATCACAAAAAAAAAAAGTTTAAAAATAAATCGGGTCTCAAAAATTAGAGTTTAATAAACATGGAGTCACAAACCTTTTTGCAGTTTTTTATTTTATTTTAAAAATTTACCAAATTTATAAATTTAATTCAAAGATTAACGTGGCTAAAAATCTTTGCAACTATTGGATATTATTAATAAACTCGCGCCACACTACGATTAAATTTGGAAAAACATGGCGTGTTAATTAGTAATTATTTTATGATTAGAAAGTTTTCTTAATTCCAACAAATTCTAAAGAAACCAGTAAGTTCTTTATAAAGTAATTAAATTTGATAATGGTGATTATTCAAAAGGAAATTCGTCTAAAAATAGAAGCAAATTGTTCTGTCCAAATATATACAAAAATACGGTTTGTTTTGTCTTTTGGCTTTCATCAAACAAAAAAGGTATAAATATGAAGTTTCGCCACTCTAGAAAAAAAAAGCAATTGGATTTAAATATATTAAATTTTCAAGCAAAAAAAAAAATCAAATATTACTACTAAACTTGGTAATATTCTTTAGATTATAATTCTAACAAAATGAACAATCCTTCAAATGATGTTAATTCTCTTAATCAGCGGTCTGTTTTTTTCATTGACGCCAGCAATCCGGAAATTGCAAATCAAACCATTTCTACTAGTAGCAGCCATCCATTCGTCAAGCCACCCTTCCCACCTGTAATTGATGTTCGTGAATTGATCACCAAACAAAATAATGGTAAATTGCCTACAAGGTCTCCAAACGCTTTTATCATTTACCGTAAAGTTTTTCTGGATACAGCTCAGGCTGATGGCTACACATTACCAATGACTGTTATTTCAGCAATGGTTTCCAAATCTTGGGAAAGTGAACCTCAATATGTTAAAGACGAATATAAGAAACTTGCAAAGGAAGCATTCAATCGTCTCAATGAGATGAACCCAAAATCGACTAAACCTAATAAAAGAGAACGTTGGAATTTTGTTTCTTTTGATCAAAAAAATAAATCTTCTAAACCTCGTCTTAACAAAAATGTCAAACAACCTGGAAACAAAAATGAAAATAGAAATAAAAATTCTAAATCATCTGTCACCATTGTTGGAAATAACGACAACAACATTAACAATACTCCAAATATCGCCAATACAGTTGATTTATCGACTTTTGATGATCATGATTATTTCAACAACAACAACATTACTCCATTGTTATCATTTTCACCTTCTTCAACAAATTCTTCGCCTAACATTTCATCTAATTACGATTTATTCATTAACAACATCGATGATAATGATAAAGACATTTTTATTCAAAATATGTTAGACACATCATCTTTTACGGCAAATCTTAATAATTCTCAAAATATTTTAAATCAATATTTAAATCCTTTCGATCAAGATATGTTATCATATACACCTTCAACAAATGATTACCAACCTTCTAGCAATTGTAGCAGCAGCAGCAGCAGCAGTAATAGTTCACCTGATATTGATAATACATATGAACAACAAAATTTTGTAAATTTGATTAATTCATTCGTCCAACCACCATCACCATCACAACCACCATCACAACCACCATCACCTTCAGAATTGGATATCTTTTCAAATATTATCGACACTAACAATAGTATTGGTAATAATATTGATAATACTGGTAACTTTCAACAATTTATAAATATTTATGAACAACAACAAAATGATTTTTCAAATTCATCATTTGACGATAATGGGCTTGGAATTTCATATCATGATAACAATAACAACAATAATAATTTATTATTTATGAATCAAGATTTATTATTAAATAACAACGACGACGAATTATTTTACGATTTTTAAAAAAAAAAAATAATTCAAAAAACAATTTAAGAATTTAAGAACATTTTAAGCTTTAAAATTAAAATATATGAAAAAAAAATTTTTTTTTTATCTCTCTCTTTTCGCACAATTATATTATTTGTAAATATTATAGATTTTAATAATTTTATATTTATGATTATGGTTTAATTAAATATGCACTGTATATACATACATATAGAAATATAGATTAATATAGAATTTAGAATAAGATTTTTTAAGGTAATAATAATGTAAATATTATAAAATTAATTTAAATAATTAATAAAAAAAAGAAAAATTACATTCCAAATAATATTTCTGTTCCAATGATTTTAGAAGATTTCGATATTTTAAGAATTATTTTTTCTTAATGAAAAAACAAAAGCCATTAATCCTTTGTTAAATTTTCTGAGTCACAAATAAATAAGCGAGCATTAAAGCACGTCAATTTAGTAATAATTTTCGAAAACGTTTTATTATTATACCCGAGTTGTTTGTTTTACAATTATTTTTTTAGTTTCACAAAAAATATATTAATATTAATATTAATATGTATTCAATATCCGCCCGCGAATACCAATTAAATATTAATCCCAAATTTTCCCATCCCATTTTAAATGTAAAAGTGGGCATCCTAGAGATAGTACAATACTAGGGACACCCAGGAGAGAGTGTGGCAAGCCAGTGACTCCTCCCAATTTAAAAAATTAGTTTAATATCACAGTGTGGATCATTTCAAATATTTAAGTTGAAAAGAATAGATATTACAATTGATCTTAGCCAAAAGGCTTGATAAGGATCAATTGTTTAATATAATTTGATATTTGTATAAAAATTTGAAAATTATGGACTTATTTATGAGTGCCAATAAAAAAATCTATTGAAATGATCATCATCCATCATCATCAAAAAAAAAAGATAATCTTACAGCTTTTCAAGTCAGAACTATATGATTAATATCAGAAACAAAAAATAAAGCCGATTGATCAGAGATAATGATTATCATTACGTTTTAGTCCCTTTCATGCAAATAAAGTTTATAGGAATAAATAGATAACAATAGTTCCAGACCCTAAAAACCGAGTACACACACAAAATAATCTAAATTTTGATTAAGTTTACAATATTGCTGTAGTTAGTATATGCAACAAGGTCACTTCTCCCGATGGACAAAACGGGATGGTTTCTTGAAGATTTTATAAATATATTAGTAAGGACAAAGAGTGGGAAAGTATATAATTATTAATTTGGGTTTTTTTATTTTAGTCATAATTTTTCCAAAGAAGTACGCCAAGCGCATCATCATCTGAACACTATTATTGTACAACCCGAGAAAATTTTGTTTCGACCTTTCCTTTGTATCTTTAGTATTAGCATGGGACAGAATTTATCTGAATAGAAAATAACAATGATGACGTACTCAACTGGTGTGTACAAATTACCGTGTCAGTAATCCTGCAACTACGAGGAAATAGTCAACAGCAAAAAATAATGACATAGTATTTCAGATAATGTATATACATGTATGAGTGTGGTATGATATAAAAAAGGAATAAAATGGTAGATGGCATAGGAAAGAAACAATAAGTTGACTGTTGAGTTATGTACAAATATGAGTGAGTACATAAGAAAATAATAATTTTTATAATAAATATCTTTATCTTTGAAATATTCTCTATTATATGAATACTTAATGCGTGAATACAATATTGATGACGAGTAGTTAAAATTGGAGATTTGAAGAATAAATATAACAATAATATTCAAAGGTTCAATCCAAGTGACGACGGCGTTATATTTTATTTATTGATATTATGTTTATTTTACATTATAAATTTACATTATCAAAATTATTAATATTATAACTTTATGGAGTATAAGTTAATGATTTTAGAGATCAATGGTACGGACTAATACTATTTATATTAAGGTTTTCAAAAAATTAATAAAATTCGAATAAAAAATGTTGAAGGAAGTTCATTAATTATAATCATGTGGTAAGGACACAGTTTTAGAACAAGTTATCTACAACTAGACATATAAAAATAAATATAACATTATTTAAACATATTGAGCATATTGAACATATTGCTCGTGGATTGGCAAAAAAAATTTTTAAAAGTTGGAGATTGAATAAAAAAGAAATAATAGTTACAGTATAATGATAATCAATCTTTGCAAGAACCAATAAAATGTCAATTTAAAAGGCCATCGAAAGTCCCATCTTCTGTAAATACTTGACAACTAATTGCCTAATTTTTTTCCAAATATAAATTTATTTATTTTACACTTGGAGAAATATTTAGGAATCTAATGGAAGGATTATCAGAATTGAAAAATATTTAGTCTACTATAACTGCTATATAATTATCAAAAAAAATTTTTACATTTACTTTCTAGCCAAATTTTTTCGAATGTTATTATTATAAGAGTTTTGTAAAACAGTCTTTGCAATATCCATAAGTTTAGGTTTAATTTCTATTGAAACTTTACTAGAGAAGGAATCTTCTTGTGAAGAAGAAGACAACATCAATGACGAAGATGTTGAAGATGATAGAAGCTTCAAAATCAAATAATCACGAATTTTATCAGCCACTACACTACTGCCACCGCTACCATCGTTGCCATCAGTAGTTGTTTTTGTTTTTGTTGCAAACTCAGGATTTGGTGATATAGCAATGATCTTTTCCATAATTTCCAATCTATTTTTATCACCAAGTTGTGCCAAAGCTATCATCGAACTAGAAAACAATGGTAGTGGAAGTTGAGAAAGAGAGTTGATTGCAATTTCTTTAACAATATCTTCTAAAGCTTGCTCTGCTGTTATCCCATTCTCCAACTTTGATTCAATTCTTGGCTGCAACCATTTATTTAAAACGTCAGACACTTTTAAGCATTTACCCTTTTTTGGCATATTTTCTAACGTTGTCAATAAATGCTGTTATTGTTGTTGTTTATTTTACAGGTAGGTTTTGGTATCAGATATTATATTTATTTATTTGGAAAAGTTTTTGTTTGTTTGAGAAAATAAAAAAAGTAAAAAAAAATGATAATCAGATCTTATATATACTTCCAGTTGATTGTGTTAAGAAAAAGTTTAGCAGAAATATATCGGCACGTATTTATATAAGTGATAAGGATTGGATCAGCCAATGGTTTTATCATCAATCATGTGTGTTATTATATGGGGGTGTGGACAGCAGAGAAAAGTCATGTTTTTCGTTTTTATCAATACATAAAAAATTTAGGGGCAAAGATAATGAGGAACGTGACCTTATTGTTTCTTTCTTTAAAAGTTGTAAACTTCCTTTGTATATATGAAGAAGACGTTTTTTTGCACATCCCCATGTATACATGTTGAGCTTCATAATATACATCATGATGATATTTTTTTCATCTCTCGTATATATAAGAAAAATTTGGATTTCACCAACATAAATCTTTATTAAGCATTCATCAAACTTACACTTTATTATTATCTCGATTTCATACTTAAACCGTCATGCTTTTTATTCGAGCTGCTTGGAAAAAAGTTTGGCGACTCGGTCCTGAGATATGATTCGTAGTTGAAACAGTATTTTGGTTGTGGCTGTGAATGGGATAGAGCTTGGTTTTGATTTTAGGAGGGACTGTCCCTAATATACCACTCAAAAACCACACCACCAGACATAGATAATGATGTCATGCTATTCTATTTAAATGCCAAGCGACTTCACTTAGGGCACTACTAAAGAAATGCTTTTTTTTTGTAAGAGTTGTAAGTTTTAAGGCAATGGTAGCAGTTTTCTGTAATTTTTTTGCTTTATCGTTTTTATTATAGAATTATTTTTCAAAGCTGAAACTTTATGGCAAAACAAATGCTGTTTTTTGAAACAAGGTAAGAATGAGCATATTAGTAAACTTGCGGGAACGCTTAGTTTGCATGATTTACTTAATAGTTATTACAATATACATATATATTTGTAAGACATGGCTTTCATGATGATAAAAATGTGTGGTATAGTCTTAAATATTTACACAAGTATCTATAAAATATTAATTATCAATTCTTCAAAAAAACGTGTAAATCAGCATTAATTTAATGCGCATTATTATAAAGAACGTTTTTCATATAAATTGAGATCGATCGCGCGGGATTCGGCGCCAGCAAACTTGAAGGAAGCATAGAGCTTTATAAACTCATGTGATAGCGAAATTCATTCAATAAATCCGAAACATTATAACTAGGTTTTGGATTCGAAATTCGGTAGATAAAATAACATTCATGTCTTTAAATATCAAGTACTAGCCTTTATATGCCTGGTTAAAAAAACTCTGAAAGACAGTTTGAAAGCATCTCGAATTCCTGTAAATATGTTTTAAATTATAAATATTGTAAACATCGATTCTCTTCAAACGGACGTTTTATGAGATTAACAAACTTCTAAAAATCTATTTTGAAATAGATTCGAAATGTTTGTGATCAATAATAATAATAATAATAGTAAAATAATAATAATTGTAAACAAAACCATTTCGCCGTCATATATGTTTTAGTAAATTATTATTTTAATGCAAATGCAAGTCAGAAATAGGCGCGCGCGAAGTCATGTTATAAACAAGAATAGAGAACTTATTTGCCACAAACTAAAACTATTTGCTTGATCTAAGGTTAGATTAGGCTAGATGGGACGAAAATAGTAGTAGAGAGAAGAGAAGCAATTATAACTTGCTAATTATCAAGAAAGGGAGACTTTTAGAAATGTAATTAATAATTAAAAATTTCAAAGTAATTATTCACCAGCATTTTTTGTGTTGGCTTTGGACGAGTAATAATTTTGAATTCATCTCTGACAAACGAGTAAATATTATTCTTGGCACTTGCGACCCATGGGAGTGGGCGTAGTTGTATCTTTATAATAATAGCGAAGATTTCTGATTTTCTAGGTTTCAATGGCTTAAATTCACGATGAGAGCCTCTTGAACTTTTACCACACTAGAATCAGGAACTTCAGGAAGAAAATGCCGAAATTTAATAATGCCATCCAACTTCGTAAATAATCATCTAATATTAAAATATTGGAAGCTTTCCAGCATCATAGCATTGAGCCTTCATTGATGTCACCAATGCTTGATTATATTTCAATAGTTGTCGTCTAATAAAATATGCATATTAATATTTCACAATTAAACGCCACGAACGAGATTCACTCTACTATACGAGCCTTATTCAATCCAGCAGCACTAGATCTTTTTACAACATCTACAACAAGAATAAAGGGACCTGAATGAATTGGTTGATAAAAAATCCAGGATATAAATTCACAAACAAAATCAAAATTTCTCAGAGAGGACTGGGATAACTTCCAGTTCGTTTTCTTCTCTTTCTTAGGTATGGTGGATACTACTGGTGAGTCGATTTGAACAAATTGTTATAATGTTCTTCTTGGGTCTTGATAATCATATTTGCAGCTTCTAGCAATTTGCATTATATACGAAGGAGATTGATGCAAAATATAGCAGAATAAATCATACAGTCGGAAAGGATTATTGCATACTAATACTAATACTATTGCCCGACAAAATCAAAAAAATGTCATAATTTTCGTAACCTATTGGCAAGAATTCTAGGGAAATCTCAATTAAATATATATCGTATGCAGGCAGTAAAAATCCATATTTTGAGAAAATAGTTTGCCCAATATTTTCAACATAAGCAAGTTTCATCCAACGTAGACTGGGAAACATCTTTATTATTAAACCTACTACTGATTTCTAAATTGCCCATTTTACAAACAATTTTTACAGCTTTACTAGAAATATACCATCCGATTTTTGAGCATACGAATTAAAATTTTGACAGTCCCCAGTTGAAAATAGTAATCTTCACCCCCTTGAAAAAAAAGGACACCAAAGATAGTAAATACATAATATTTACCAAAGAATATTACCACAAATAAAGGCTGAATTCTACTTACATATGTAGTATAAACATGATTTTAAACCAATAAATAAAATTATTAAATAAGGTGTATCAAATATCCAGCGTAATTTGCTTCGGATACATCTTTCTGTTACGTCACAGCGTCTTCTAGAAAAATGCAATTCTGGCCGAGAATAATGAAAAAAGGTTAGTGAATGTTCAAGCCACAATATTTCAAATCCAAAGGAGATATGCTTGTGATAATGACAGTATTATTATGAAAAAAATTTGTAAAATGGTCATCTTTAGGCATTAATAGATTTGTAAATGATCGTGAGTAAAGTTCTAGTTTTAAAGATTAAAAAAAGTTATATGATTTATGGTAAAGATAGGAAAAGGTTATTATTCTCAAAATTTCAATAATGTGAACGGGAAGGTGTAGGTGATGTTTGAACGTCTTGTAAATGTTGGTATTTCTGCATAATCTTTTTAACCATCTTGGTTTGGCAATCTTGTATCTGCAATAACTCCAAACCTCAGGCCTAAAAAGTTCAATAAGTAGAACCAGCAAAACTCGGCTGATAATAATCATTCATGATTTACCTCATAGGAACTACTGATCGTCCAACCCTTATTGAAGATCCGTTCATAGATATCAGGCGCTAGTTAATTATTCATCAGTTTCTTGGAAAACAACCTTCCATTCCTTCTTCGCAACTTAAAAGTCTTCCTCCAAAACTATATTTGAATATTAGTTCTGCCAATTGAGAAGAAAAATATTTAAAAGTGCAAAAAAATAATAACCACTTGTTTTATATTTTCTTGATTTGAACCTCACAAGATTTTGCTACAAAATTATCATTAGTTGTTGTTGCTGCTAATATTGATGTCTCTGTATGGGTGGTTCCGATTTTGTTACTATTTCTTCTGTTTACTGTCACGAATTAGTTGGTTTACGTTTTTCAGGCTCTATTATATCATCAATCTTCGGCTTTGTTCTTCGAGTACTCTTGATATATTATAGATCCAGCTCTTGTAAGTTTATAAATGAAGTAAAAGTCCAAGGGAAGGTCCGGTCAAATGTCCATCAAGCACATTACCAGTTAAACTCGGAGAGATTGGTCGTGGTATACATGGTTTTTAATACAGATCAAAAAATTTATATAGTAAGGAAAAAAAGTTTTATTTAAATCCAAATAAAATAATAGAGTCTTTGATGAAATTTTTATTTATCCAAAGCAGCACGAACGATTACGACGTATGGGACATATGCAGATAACTATAATCGAGGATATTAAATAATTAATTAAAAAAAAAATAAAATAAAAAGAGATGCTCACTTTGGTTTTGTGACAATCATGCCCTATGTTTAACCATATTTAGTATTAATTACGACAAAAATCAATTATTACTAACCTAATAAAAGCACATAAATTTTATACAATAATAAAATAGTAAATGTGGATTAATTGTATGTATGCAGGGTTAAATAGATAGACCAGCCGGTTTTTACCGCTAATACTAAACGATAAATCTAGCGATTCTTTCTTTTAGATAAATTTTCCGGTAAATTGAAGACCTGTATGTAATAATAACTAACTTGTATTTTTTTTTAATAAACACTTTATTTGGACATTTGTTTATCCCTTGTGTTTCCTGGTTAATAAAAAAGGTGGGGGAGGAACCAATATTATTGAGATAAGCCATTCATTATAATAATAAGCTTTCTATCCCGAGAGAAAAAAGTACTGGACTGTTAAAAAAAAAAGTCTATATAGAATGTTATGAAAAAATTTATTACCTAATTTTCTCACAATTTTCCGATTACGATATTTTTAACATAATTGTCAATTATTTATTAGTTATTCATTGGCTGGTTGGTTGAATTCTACACACATACGTAATGAAGATGTATTCTTCAATAGTTTGTATATATTAAAAAATCGCTTTATTATATAATTGGTAGTAATTAAATATCAATTTGTTAAAGGGGCTTTGTTTTTAATCTAAAGGAAGAGATTCTTTGAATTTATAAATATTACCATAATAAGTAAGGTATTACACGGGGTAAAGTAAAGCTCTTCAATGTCATCTGATGCTGCAATTCGCATGTGTAAGTCATCTCTTTTGTTTGATATTAAATTCTAATTTACTCAATGGATATATAAAGTTATTTCTGGGAAACAGAGAATTCTGGAAAGGAGAAAGAAACTATGCAAAATATAAACCCCCACATTGATGCCATAGATTATCAAATCATACCATTATCTAGTTTGAAAATTGTTTAGACTGTTTTACTTATATTATCTATATATTATTTTTTGCCCCGCGTTTTCCCTGCAAGAAAGCTAAATAAAATTTATATATTAATTCCCAATTCAAATAAATTTTTTTTTTATTTTTGATATTTTTTATCATAAAGAAAAGAATCATGTACAAATTTAAATTAATTAAAGATTTATTACATAGAAACAATGATTCTTCCACTATTAATAATACTATTGCCACTAACACCAACAATAATAATATCACTAATCTCATTATTACAGCTGATAAAAATATTAAGGCTGCTGCCAATAGTGCTAATAATCATAATCGTATTGATGATAATAAAAATGAAGATAATAAAAATGACAATAAAAATGATATTATCATTACAAACACCAATGATCCAAACCCAAATGCCATCATCACTAAAAATGCCAATGCTAATGATAATGTCAACTCCATAACCAATTCCATAAACAACTCCACAACCAATACCAATACCATCAATGATGATTCTAACACTACCACAATCACGACCACAAATACAACCATTACAACTCCCAACAATAATAACACCATTAATAATAACACCATTAATAATAGCACCATTATTAATAACAAGGCCAATCAAACCATAACACCTGCAACTATCAATGCTACCACAACAAAAATCAAGAATAAAGAAAAATCAAAATCAGTAGTACTAAAGACATCATCAGCATCATTATCAACCACAAAACTTTTCGAATCAAAAGATAATAGTAGATTATTAGATCATGCGGCCTTATTAACGACCCAGGCAACAGCCTTAGCAGCAAATTTCCTAACTCACCATTTATCCGGACCACGTAAACCGTCTTGGCCAATACAACTTACATTAATGTGTGCTGCAATGAGAAATATAACTGAACATACACATTTGGTTGATGTGGAAACATTACGTCGTGTGATCACCATGTTTTTTGCATTCACACCCTCTGACATAATAGTCACGCCTGTTTCTTTCAAAATCATTAATAGAGGTCTACAAGGTATTCTCAAAGATTTGGATGAGAAGGAGGGGTCGTCGTCGAGTAGTGATTGTCGTGTATTGAGTGGTGAATGGGTTGTCCCAAAACCACTTTGGATACAAATGAATGATGAATTCCACAAATCATCTGCTAATCACAAACATATTTATGTTGATCAAGATGGAATAAAATGGTCAAATGAGAAAGTCATCTTGTATATACATGGCGGTGCTTATTATTTGATGTCTGCTAGAACTCATCGAGATTTAAATTATCGTCTATCACAGGTAACTAGACGAAGGGTCTTTGGTAAGTTATAAATTATCCAAGTTATGGAAATTGTGAAATATATATTTAATATCATAATAATTAATCATTATCATTTTTCACCATTAGCAATAAATTATAGATTGGCACCTGAAGGTCCATTCCCGTGTGGTCTTCATGATGCTGTCCATTCTTTTCTTTATTTGACTGATCCAAATGGATTGGCAATTCAACCGCAAAATATTATTATAGCTGGTGATAGTGCTGGTGGAGGTTTAAGTAAGTCTCTTAATAAACAAAACAAATACATAAATAATGCTTTAAAAATAATAATTAATTAAATTATTTATTTTAGCATTAGCACTATTATTTTATCTTCGTGATAACCATATGCCATTACCAGGTGGTGCAGTATTATTTTCGGTAAATATTATACAACATATAAATATATAACATAATTTTTTTATTTATTTTTCATGATATGTTTTCTCTATATTATATATTATACATACATATTATTAGCCTTGGGTTGATTTGACAATGTCATGTGCAAGTTGGGTTGAAAATCAGCCATATGATTATTTATTTAAACAAAAAGAATCGGATCCATTAAATCCTGTAAAACTGTACCTTGATCCACATGAAGAACGTGCAAATCTAGCCAAAAATCCTTATGTGTCACCATTATTCGGTGACCTAAATCATCTACCACCTCTATTAATACAATGTGGCGATTCCGAGGTTTTACATGACGAAATTTGTCTATTGGCTAATAAGGCTTCCGAAACTGGCACAACATTTGTGCAACATGAAGTTTATGAAGGTATTAGTCAATCTCTAGTGTTTTCCCCAATATAGATATATATTAATTCTTAATATTCACTATCATATAATATTAATTCACTGTAGATATGGTACATGTGTTTCAAATGTTTAATTTTTTGGAACCAGCAACAAAAGCAATGGATTCAGTTGGATATTTTGTTAAAAACATTATACCAATTCACCAGAGAAACATTTTATTATCACAAACTTATCATCACAGTAATTATTCAATACCTGGAATTCAATTACCTTCACCAGTTGAATTAAATAATTAAATAATCAATTTAATTAATAAAATTTGTAATTAAAAATAATAATAATATCAGTAATAACTAACTAACTATTTGATTTGTCTCATAAATTTTATTATTTATTCTAAAATTTGACTGGGGGAATGGAATGTGTGAAAGGGAAAAAATAATTAAATAGATTAATTAATGTTATACAGTAGTGTATATATAAATATCTACATACATAAGTAAAAATGAATAAATAAATGAATGAATGATTTTTTTTGTATGTGTAATGTAAGTGTGAGGAGAGTGTCTTTTGAATTTATTATTTTCAAGAAACAACAATCATGAAAAATATTTTTTTAAAATTTCCTAAAAATAAAAATAAAAAAATAATTATATTAATTAAATTATCACACACCACCAACCACCACTGTTACCATCATTACACTTACGTATGTTAAGAATATTATTGCACTTGATGGAGCAGCTCTAGCAACAGTTATCCCACATCCTCTATAAAATCCTTTAATTCCATCAGCTTTGTATAAATCTTTTCCTACTTTAATAAATCCTCTTTTCTTATTGCCTGATTTACCCATTGCTGACAAAACTTCTTCTTCTGTTTGCATTTGACTTTTAATTGAATCAGCTGGGAATATTAAAAGGTTATAAGCCATTCCCGCCAACGCTCCTGATAACATAAGTTCAGTAACACCTAATTCATTTTTCGTTATTTTTATATTACTATTACTATTACTATAATCAGCAGCATGAAGGAGAGAATGTTCTTTTCTTTTAATAAATAATCTGGTAGCATACTCATATGTACCAAACCATGCACCACCTCCAAAAGTCTCTCGTATAAATGTACCAAAATGTCCACAATAAAATCCTTTTATACCATGTGTCTTTAATGTATATTTGATAACTGATAATGGACCTGAATAATTTAATTGGTTATTATTGACTGATATTGCTGGTTTGTTAGATTTACTAATATTATTATTAATGGAAGTGTTTTTATCTAGAGTATCATAAGAAAGAGTTTCTTGAACTTGTAATTTACACTTGACCAATTCTATCGGTGTTAATAAAAAAGATGTCAAAGCTCCTGATAATGCACCAGCTAAAATTAATTGAGTCATTGATAGAGGAATTTGACCAGCATCTGTTTGGTTATTATTATCATATAACAAGTGCTTTTGATCTATTGGCGTTGTATACTCTCTTATCAACATTTGTATATGATTGTATGCTAAAAACAGTGTTGCATTCTCTAACATTGCCCCAACCATTGGTGATGACAAACCCTGAAATGATATGCGAGAAGGTAAATTGAGGAGATGTATGGATTTGAAGTATGGAAAGAATATAAAGGAAAAAAATAATATAATATTTATTATTTTACAAACAATAAATAAATCACTTTTTGATTTCTTGTACATGCATATTATCTAGATAATATATTAGGTGTAATAATACCCGATACAATCCCAAAAATCCCTCATTACTTATAGTTTTTTTAAAGCAATCCAGTGGACCATTAAATAATTTACGACCTGATGGCTGGGATTGAAGACGTGTCTTGACAGTGTCAAATGGATATTCCACAAGTTTTCCTGTCATTCCTGAAATCTGATAATTATATTTAATTCATTGATTTGATCGAAACAAATTATAGGTAAAGGTAAATGAAATGGAATTTAAAAACTCACAGAGCCAAATATTAAATTCTTTATTCCTTGTTCTGTTTTAGTATTTGAGGTGGCCTTTGTTGAGGTTGAAGAATCTTGAGATACTGACACATTTCCAAAAGGCATTGCTACAACTATAATATTTGAAATAAGGAATAAAAATGCTTTCTTTTACTGATGATAAAACAATGATTAATTTACCTTTTTGAGTTTCTTCCATAATAAAATAAAATTAAATAATTTTTTTGAGGAATATTTATATTTTATTTTTTTTTCAAATAACAACAACAATAGTACATATGGGCAATATGGAAATATGGAAATTTTTAATTCCCAATTAATTAATTTGTACTCATTATATTTTCATTGAATTAGGCGCGTCCAATTTCAAATTTAGAAATAATAATGATTAAAAATTTTTTCGTATTATATAAAAGTAGGATTATTATTATTGCAATAGCCAACTACGGAAATGCTGCTACTTTTTTTTTTTTTAACGACGTAATCTTGTTGTGACATTTATTAATTTAAAATTGATTTAAATTATTTACAATGCACAAACTCCCCTCCCATTTTACCATAAAATGGGATTCGTTTGAACGACTTATAATAATGAATTATTAAAAAATAATTCTAAAACTGATAAACAACTCGAAAATTTAGTTTTTATTTTATATTACATAAAATTTTCAATATTTTAGAGATAAATTTTGTTAAAAACTAATTAGAAAACAATTATATTATTGTTATTATTATCAGTATAATTTTGGTTATTATTATTAATATTACACTAATTTTATTATAATTATTTGCTATAGTGTGTATTATTTGTTGTTATTTAATATGATATGATACATACACAAAATCAATTAAGTAACATATTTCTTTACTATTTCTTCGACTTCAGGCCAATTATCTGTTGGAAGCTTTATAATATCACGTTTGAAATGTTCTTTGATCCTTTTAATCAACTCCCAACTTGTTGAATCATGAACAAAATTAATAGAAACGCCAGATCTACCAAATCTACCAGTACGGCCGATATGATGTATGTAAATAAGTCTCATAATCAGGATTTCTACCACTGTAATCAACTGGTAGATCATAATTAATCACCAAATTCACTTGTAACACATCTATTCCATGTGCCAAGACATTTGTTGTAATCAATACTTTGGAACTGCCTGACTGAAAACCATCCATCACTTGATCTCTTTCAATAGTTGATAGTCCAATGTGAAGATTGATAACTCTAAGATTTCTTTCTGTTATCAACCTTGCTATTTCTATCAGCAGTTTCACGTTTCTTGAAAAAAAAATATTAAAACATTAAAAAATCATGTGGTTTAAAAATTTAGATAATTTTCTTTTCTTGTCTACAAAAAAAAATTTTTACCTGAACAAAGATTATACTTTGACTAATTGTTAATAAGGAATATAATTCATCTAATACATCTAATACAATAACTTTATGAACATCCCACATAAAATTGTTTGATTGATCTAACAGATAATTCCTCGACTTTTAAACTAAATTCATTTACATTTGGTGCAAACCTACTAGCAAAATTACATACTTCAAGTGGGTGTGTAGTGGAAAAAAAGTACAATTTGACAATTTTTAGGCATTATGCTATATAGTCATTTCATCCAAATATATATACATATATATTAATAATTATTCCTCTTTCGAATTATATATTTACAAAACATAATATACATACTTTTTTATCCTTATACTTTGATCTCCTAGACCTCGTTGATCCAACATATTATCAGCCTCATCCAGCACAAATATTTTAAAAAATTTTTTTTTTCCATGATTTGTCTTTTCAATAGGTCATAAACTGTACCAACTATCAATTGAACACCATGAAATTCACCCAGTCTTGTTTTAGTTACTCTATGTTGAGATTCTCGAATAGCTTCAGCAGTGACCACTGATGTGTATTTACCCATTTTTCTAACTTCTGTCATAATTTGATGAGATCATTCCCTTGATGGTGTTAAACAAAGTGCCTTTTTCGTTTTAAATCATACAAGTTATAATTAATTAATTAACAGCTAATAATTTAATTAAGTAATTTCTATTAATAAATAATATTAAAATATTTACTTGTGTTCTTTTAATTCAGGATCTATTCTACTCTACATTGTTAAGACAAAAGCCGCGGTTTTACCAGTACCAGATTGTGATTGACCAATCATATTTTGTGGTCTTAGAAAATGATATATTTTCTCATTAGTAAAATAGTAATTAATAAATTAAAGCAAAATAGCAGTAAGCAATTAGTAAAACATACACAGATCCTTGAGTAATAATGGTAATGCTTTGGCCTGAATTTTTGGTGGATTTGAAAACCCCATTTCATAAACATACACCTTTCAATAAATATGCACTCCTATAATTTATATTTATATTATACGTATTTACAAATATTTTATAATTAATATTTAAATTGGCAAAGTGATGGTCAAACTAACAAATTTAATTGTTCAAACGTTGCTACAGATAATAAAGGTTCGTCTTCATCAACAAGTTTAACTTCAACTTCATGTTTTGTTTCTTTTAATGAAGTGTGCTTAACAACTAATATTTGCGGATGAGTAAATTGTAGTAAATTTAGTAATTTAGATCAGTAAAATATAAATATAAATATATATATATTAACCTTCTCTAGTTTTCCCTAATTCAGAAATCTTTTCTGCGAGAATATTGACATCTATAATTTATTTATAGATATACGCGTAAATATAATTTGAGGCATATCTATTACTATTTTTAAATGCAGAATTAAAACTTTTTTCTATGCATAAAGAATAAATTGTCTATAGTTTATTTTAACCTTCATTAAGGGATTTTCAACCATTGATTTTTTTCGATATACATAAATAAATAATGGTATATCTTCACATTTTGGTGTAACTACTATTAATTTCCTTGTCAAGATTTCCTGAGAACTTTTTTTTACTATTGTGACAATTGTATAAACGTATATTTCTGGTCATTACCCAATATATTAATACTAATACATGCATATTTACTCAACAGGACCCAGCATAGTGGACTTTCGATTCGTGTAACGTGACTATTGAAAATTTTTGCCGATCACAATTCATAATAGATACAGTAAAATAACACTAGTAAAATTTTTATTTTGGCATCAACATGCCTCATATCCTTCTAATAAAGATCAATCTTTA